GTACATTTTTGTTACATCTGCATGCCTATTTGTAGTACTCTACCAAAGTAATATTCAGGGTGTAATCATGTAACAACTGCCTGTTGGCTTATATCACGTTCGGAATCTGAATATTCGAATGAAATTTTAAAAATTTTGGCAGCTTAACAAACAGATAAAACCATAAATATACAAATACATATATACATAAAGAAGAAAAGAAATAAAAAGAGAGAAAAAAAGAGAAAGAGAGGGAGAGAGAACGATCCGTCGATGATGGTGCTGACATTTTTAATTCTAAAAATGACCGAGACAAAAATTTCTTTAAAATTGCCCATCATTAATCTTCGCCAGAATTCATGTGTGTGCGTGTGCATGCGTGCGTGCGTGCGCGTGTATGTGTGTGTTGTGTGTACATATGTGCGTGTACATGTGTGTATGTGTGTGTGTGTGTGTGTGTGTGTGGTTTGTGTGTGTGTGTGTGTGGTTTGTGTACGTCGGTGTATTTATTTTAAACTAGTACTGCTACTATTGTTACTACTACTAAAGCTGCTGCAGATGCTACTACCACTGTTGCTGCTACTACTGTTACTACTATTACTACTACTACTACTACTACTACTACTACTACTACTACTACTACTACTACTACTACTACTACTACTATTACTACTACAACTACAACTGCAACTGCTTCTCAAGCTGTTTTTAAGGAATTGAAATTGTAATGGCAGCTATGATGATAATGATGATGATGCAGTTATTAATGATAACGATAGCACTAATTAATTATAGTAATGATAATGTTGATAATGATGATGATGATGATAATGATTGGGAAGATGATGATGATGATGATTGGGAAGGTGATGATGATGATGATGATTGGGAAGATGATGATGATGATTGGGAAGATGATGATGATGATTGGGAAGATGGTGATGATGATGATGATTGGGAAGATGATGATAATGATTGGGAAGGTGATGATGATGATGATGATTGGAAAATGATGATGATGATTGGGAAGATGATGATGATGATGATTAGGAAGATGATGATGATGATGATGATTGGGAAGATGATGATGATGATGATGATGATGATGATGATGATGAAGATTGGGAAGATGATGATAATGATTGGGAAGATGATGATGATGATGATGAATAGTGGGCGGAGATCGCCGAGAACGCCGACACAAGTGCCACAATAATGGACAGATAACAGAATCATCGATTCGTGAAATATTTATTCGCTAACGGACGTTAATACGCCGATGATGGTGAGGATGATGGCGCCGATGATGACGTCAGCAAAGATTAAATAGATAAGGATGCTGAAGATGACGATGACGACGACGATGACGTCATTGGCGACAACAACAGTTGCTACAATCTATTACCATATTACATCAACTGGATCATTCTTTCACGATTCCACAATGTATTTAAATAATTATTATAAACAATAATTATAATGATAACAACAAATATATTTTTTTAAATTTGTTTAACTTTTGCTAAATCTAACCAAAAAAATTATTAGTTTTTAAAAGATTTGAATCGACAGATGCCAGGAGCGGGGGTAGGTTCAGGTCATCATGGTGGTTATCTGCTAGATGGGTGGACACAAAGATGATGCAGTCATCGAGTTATTGTTATTATTATTAATATTATTATTAGTAGTAGTAGTGGTAAAAGTGATAATAGTAGTAGTAGTAGTAGTAGTAGTAGTAGTAGTAGTAGTAGTAGTAGTAGTAGTAGTAGTAGTAGTAGTAGACGTAGTAGTAGAAGTGGTAGTAGTAGTAGTTATTGTAGCAAAATAATAATAATGTAGTAATAGTAATAGTATAGTTGCAGTAGCCGCATATTATTTACTATGCTACATTTGTAATCTTTGGATGGTAAACCATAGAATGTAAAGAAAAATTGTATCTATGATTGTAAAATTGGCTGTAAATACGGAAGAGAAAGTTACAGGCGAAGGTCTAGCGAAGTTGTAAGTCTGATCAATGTATCATAGTTATTTGGCTTACTTTATTGTCTCTATTACTGTTGGTATTCAAATGAACGTTCAGCTTTGTTTGCGTTTGAAGCAGTTGCGTTCGTCTATCGAAAATTTTTGATGCCACGGATAAACGAACTCTTGACGACCGTTGGTAGCTACAACACTGGTGCTGCAGATGTTGAGATCATTGAAGTTGTAACATTGGTGTTTGCAGATACTAAGTCAAATGGGTTACAACATTTTTATTATTATAATTTTTACTATGTATGTTTTTTAAATTTTTATTGATATTTTTAACAAAAAAATAAATTAAAACCCCAGAAAAAAGTTTGAAAATTCGTTATATTCAGATGAATGCGTCAGTAATTTTGATTGAATGTTTTGTATCGTCATATTTCACTAACTTAATTAAAGTCTCGAGCGACCAACGGTAATTGTATTATTTAATTGAATGGTGGAAAGAGCGAAAATGAGTAAACGAAAAAAATGAATGAATGAATGAATGAATGAACGAACGAGTAAATGAATGAATGAATGAATGAATGAAGAAAGAATAGTTTTATTAATAAAAAATCTAGAACAATAGTATGAGCAAAACGGTTAAACATTTCTAGACTCTACTCTAATACAGTGACATTGATTATGACGTAATGTGACGATAACGATGACGATGATCATAATGACGTCATGATGGTGGCGATGATGATGATGATGATGACGATGGCGAATAGACTAACAATTCTAATTCATAAATACGCATACGATAAGTTTTTATACATAAATAAATAAAAATGTCACATTGTGAATTAAAAATCTTCGAAAAAATGCTAGGTAATTCAAATAAGATTTTCTCACAAACACACACAAACAAATACACTATATATATATATATATATATATATATATATCATTCATATCCTCATAAAAATATATGAAACACACACGCACAAACATATATACATGCACACAGCATAAAATTGTAAAAAATGTTATATATATATAATTATATATATATATATAGTATTTATGTATATATATATATATATATATATATATATATATATAGTAATGCATCTTTCATTAAACGTCCATATGTAAATGGTGTTGAAAAGACATGGACCCTAAATTATTTTAAAAATAAAAATAATAAAACAACAACAACAATAACAATAATAAAAATAACTATAATTATTATTATAATAAATACACAAATATATATATATATATATATATATATCATACAACTCCTTGCCCATTCAAGCCATTTAACAAGAGAGGATTTTATTATTGATCGAATTTCTTAAGATTTTATTGCTACATCTCTTTAAAGATTTTATAACTATTATTATTATTATAATTATTATTATTACACAATTAATTAATCAAAATCGTTAACAATCACATACATACAGACAACGTACACACACATACACACACACACACACGCACACACACACATACGCACACACAATCCATTTCCATGTCCTATCTTGTACAAGTTTACCAAAGTTCCACTCAGTGTTGCTGCTCCTATGCAACATTAATAATGTATATATATATAAATATATATGTATAATAGTCTATAAATAAATTAATATATATATATATATATTTAATTTTTATTAAATTTATTAAATCATAATAATAGTCTGTTATACTAGCCTTAGGGATACTGTGGAAACATTAACTTCGTAACAAATCAATGTATTGGAAATAATTCATTCAAAAGATAACAGTTTGTACTTTGTATTGTGAATACATACACAAACATCAACATACAAACATACAAACACACACACACATGTATATATTTATATATATATATATATATATATATACATGTCAAATTAAATAATTTTTTTGTAGTATGTTTATCCGGTTGGGTTCGGATAATTTTTTTCATCTTAATTGACATATTCTCCACCATCATCGTCTTCGTCATCATCTTCATCATCTTCATCATAATCACTACCAACAACACTTCTTCTTCCTCCTCATCATCATCATCACCGTCATCGTCATGTTAATAGCACAGCAACAAATGTGCCACAGCAAATGACTACGAAGTTAATTTTTAACAAATGCTCGCTTACACATCTTAGGACGTCTATCTAATGTAATAAAAATATATTTAAAAAAAAGTTGAGAGAGAGAGAAAGAAAGAAAGAAAAAGAAAGAGAGAGAGAGAGGAGAGAGAGAGAAAAAAAAAGAAATAGAGAATATTAACTATCATAAGTGCATTTATCGATACGATTAAAAAATATCTAAAAAAATTTAGGTATAGACAAACACATAAAATAAAAAAATAACACACACACACAAACAAACACACACACACACACGCACACACAACACATACACACAGAGAGAGAGAGAGAAAGAGAGAGAGAGAGAGAGAGAGAGAGAGAGAGACACACACACACACAGATATACACATATTCATACACATACAAAAACGACAGAGCCTGTTGTTGACGATGGAGACACCATTATATTCAACGAAAAGGGATGGGAACAGATAATAATTAAAAAAAATTTCTTTCTACTAATGATTTATCATGCTGTGTTATTATTAGTAGTCTTTTATAATTATAAGAATTATTATTATTGTTATTGTTGTTGTAGCTGTTGTAGTTGTTGTTGTTATTATCTTCGTTCTTATTGTTGTGTGTAATATACATTAGCACACGCAGTAAACAAATGAAATACAAAGATACAATTAAAAATGCAGGTTCGTTATGATCATCGTCCTCATCAGCCAACTTCAACAGCTTAAACACGCCAAAACACGCCAAATTTAAATCAAATTAAAGACGCCGAAGACAGCAACACACACACACACCTTAACACACTTTAGCAACAACACCAATGCAACACTAGTACACACCTCAACACAACTCAACACACCTCAACACACCTCAACACACTTCAACACACCTCAACACACCTCAACACACGAACCAACCAACACACACCACACGGCATCATCAACGACGTCAAAATCAACCACTTCAATTCTTCTCGGGGACTTCCTGCAACGTATGCCACTGCGCAATGGGTCTGCGGGGGTTGGCCAACATATCCGACCAATGGCGTAGCTCGGTCCCTGTAGCATTGCACCCCAGTAGGACGTGGCCAATGGGGTCTGAGGTTCCGATGCGGTCGTAATCTACTACCGTTATGTCGAGTGAAATTTTCTGTCAGGGTGGATTGCATGATATTTTTATTGTTGTGTTATTGTTCTGTTGTTGTCATTGTTATTTTTCCCCTTATGTTACAATACAAAAGCTCTCCCAAAACAGCAGAACAACACTGACGACAACAACAACCACAGCAGCGACCACAGCAGCAGCTACAGTAGCCGCAGCAGCGACAGTCACAAACCTGGATTTGTTCGAACGCCACCTCGAAACTGAATGACTCATTCCAATAGGGATTCAACGTGCATTTCTTTATGGTTGATTTTTTCTTCTTGATCCTCTTTCCATTCATTAGGAGCGCCAACTTCACGTACGGATCTTCAGTCATGATGATGACGTGATGATGACGTGATGATGATGACGGTGACGTTGATGTTGTGTATAAGTTTTTGAATGCACTTCAAAAAAATAATTAAATAAATTCAGATAATTCCTACACATGGTTATTTTGAAGAAGCGCACGTATAAAATATAGCATAGAACATTAATATTCTATTTAAAAAAGACTTGTTATTTTATATATTAAAATGATTATTAAAATAATTATGACGTCATTTTGTAATAATAATAATTATTATTATGATTTATTCTCTCTTAATTTTATTAATTTAATCAAAATATCAACGTAGCACACACACAGTGCAGCATAAAATAGGTGAGAATATCTTTGCATTCGATACCGGTCGTTGCAACAGCAGGACCAGGCGCCTTAACCATTACACCATCTGGCTATACTATTATTTATAATATTACCTGACAATCCACCGACGTCCATTTTTTTCAAGTTCTTAGCTTCTAGGATGACGATTGTTAACTTACCGGCTGTTGGTACGTACCTCAGCGAGAAACAGATATCTCCGAGTTTGTTTTCCTGGTTTTGTCGTTGTCGTTGTTGTAGTCGTCGTCGTCGTTGTTGTTGTTGATGTTGTTGTTGTTGTTGTTGTTGTTGGTGGTGGTGTTTAACGTTTTGTAGATGGGTGTCGCATTATAATGTCAATGCAGATACGTACTCGTTGATGGATGGATGGATGGTGAAAAGAAATGGAAAACAACATGAGTGAGTACATACGAGTGCACAACATTAGAAATTGTTAAATTTTTAAAAATAACTTGCACAGATACAGATACCCACCACTCGTTGTACAAACAACAACAGCCACACCTACCTTCTCTTCAGACTCAGGGCTCGTGAGGTCTCTCCATTCCTCGACCACCCTGCCCAAATCGACGGAGTTCAGGGGCACCAGCACCTGCCCAATCTGATCATGTTTCGAAAACCTATCGAAGTCGTACACAGCGAATGTCAATGTCTTCGAGCCAATCTCGGCGTAGGGTACCTTTGAATGTGTTTTCGTTTGTGTGTGCGTGTGTGTATGTGTGTGTGTGTGCGTGTGTGTGTGTGCGTATGTATGTGTGTGTGTGTGTGTGTGTGTGTGTGTGTGAAAGAGAGAAAGAGAGAAAGAGAAAGAGAGAGAAAGAGAGAGAGTGAAAGGTAAAGAGGATGACCCCTCCAATGATAGCGAAGTATATGTGCATAGGATATTTGCATAGGACATTAAATATCGTCGTCATTTTATTTCTGACACGTTCGATCAAAAGCCACACACAACACCACACAAACACGTAACACATATACACACACACACACGAACACACACACACACACACACACACGAACACACACACGCATTTCATTTCTCGCAGGACACAGCACGAACCTTGAAAACAAAAGTTTCATTGAAAACAGGATTCAACGTCTTCCGATGAACTTTCGTCTCGAACTTTTTCTTCTTATCCGGCATGATGTAGACTTTAACGTAGGGGTCCGACGTCCCCGACATATCCATTCCAGGCAGATCCACAGCCTGAATCACTCCAACTGATAACTGAGAATTAATTCATCCAGTATGCTATAACGTGATAATTATTCCATGCTGATTTATCAAGCTTGTCTATTTATGATTTGTAAGGGAATATAAAGAACTAATTTACTTCAGATTTCTGGAAATCATAATCCATTGAGAACTGGAGTTTTCCAAGTTTCACTTCCTCTTTCGCATTTTCCACTCCTTCGTTGTCTTCCATGTTACCTTCCAACGATTCTAAATCGGGCTGCACCTAGAAAAATTTCAAGTTAAAGTTTGAGTAGATTTTTAAGAAGTTTGTCGGTTGATTTCGGGGGGAATGTGCGTACCTTTTCTTTCATGGAGCTTCCAAGAAGTTGAACATTTTTCAAATCGACGGCCCCTTTCAGACCCTTCTTCCCCTCCTTACCCTTCCGTCTCTTCCAGCACATTCTCAAGAGACATCCACAGCAACAGAGTAAGATGAGGAGTGCCAGTATGCCAATGCACACTGTTCCCCACGGTGGAACTTTGAAGTGGTTGTTGTTGTTGGGGGTAGTGGTAGTGGTTATGAGTGAGTATGAATGAAATTATTGATAGATTGTATTTCAACTCACTACGAGTATGAATGAAATTATTGATAGATTGTTTTTCAGCTCACTACCGACCTCAATTAAATTGTTATTCTGGTAAATTGTATTAAACAATTTCAACAACAGACCAGCAAAACAATTTCAGCGAGAAAAAAACAACGTCAACAAACAACAACCTTCTGACCAAGCCCAACAAACAACAACCTAATCTCCAAATTTTCGTCAAAACTAACTGTTGAATTTTTGCATCATGGTTTCTTCCAGTTTTTCCAGCGGGTTCTTATTGGTCTCAGTAACCGAGGACTCCGTGGTGAAGATGAGGGCCTCCTCATCTTCCTCCTCCTCCTCCTCCTCTGCATCCTCATCTCCTTCATATTCGTACTCTGCCTCAGTGGTGGTTGTGAACGCAGTTGTGGTGGCTACTGTCCGCAGAACTTTCCTTGTGAATCCCATTTTTGTCGAGTTGTTGTTTGGTTGTTGTACTTTTACCAGGAACAACTGATCCTATCTACGAAGAGCAATTAAATCGATAATAATGTGGAGAAGTAATTGTTTCAAAGTTTCAATTTGATGTTTTTTGGTTTGATATTTAAGTTTTATTTATTTATCTAATTTGCATCGCTCTGTCAAACGCTGCTAAAAAACTATCTTAAATAATATTCTGTGTGTAATCCGCAGAGTAAAAAGTGACTGAAATTTTAACAATATCTTGATCAGAGTTGCAATTAATCTTTTCAAAAGTCAAATTAATCCTAGTGTAGTGGATATTTTCAGTTAACGAGCAGATTATGTTATTGATTTTATAAGATCATAATGTAAACGAAATTCGCAATGAGTTGCTGTTTCTTCACAAGACACTGTATATAAAACACACACACACACATACATATACACATACGTACTGATATACATACATGCAACAAACGACATACATACATACATTCATTCATACATTAAACACACACACGCACACACACACACACACACACACACACACACACACACACACACACACATATATATATATATATATATATATATAAAGTATACATAAAAACATACATAAAATCATACATACAACATACATAGCCTACGTACAGTTCGATCATACTTTTACATACATTAAACCATACATTCATACAATCACATACAAACACATACATATATGTGAATACACACACACGCGCATACAAACACACAAACATACATAGGTTTATGTGCGTGTGTGTTGGCGTTGGATCGCGAGGACAAGCAGTTGCTTGCATATTCCAGCACACGCCTGGCTTGCAATAATCGATTTTCCAGAGCTATTTTCGTGGTAGAGAGGAATAAATTTGATGATTAATTTGATCATTCTAATTTATTATAATTTTTGATTAAAATTCTTTGATCTATTTACATGACGATGGCGAGCTTCCAATTGACGTCGGTCAGACTAAGTGAATTTTACTTTCGGAATAAAAATGACTTTGGTTTATTTAGCGTTTTTGGGTTTTTCTGCTGTTTACACGTGGAGTCAATTCTGGTCGAAAAATTTATAAAAAAATGAAAATTCCGGACAAGTTCGTGAAAAAATTTTGAAATTTATAAAATTGTGCACATTTTATTTATTTAAAATATAAAATTTGAAAGATGGGAAAACTACGAAGCGATCGGCAAGTTGATCAGTGGTACGAGATTCATTGCATTCAAAGTTCCTCTGGCCGAGGTGAGATCTCCGATTTTAATTTAATTTAATTAATTAAAAATTAAAATTAAAGCTTTTTACTATTTTATTCTGTAATATTTTGTTGTTTTTTTTTTAAATATGTTTTTTAGGAGTTGCTATTTAATTTTAAACTAATTGGTTAAGAATATCAATATACAATACATAGGTTGGTAGCAAGCTAGTGAATTTTTTTTTATGTATTAATTATTATTATTATTAATACTTATTAATTGTAATAGATGAGTATACAAATAAATATATCCTATTATTTTTTTATTTCAATTGTATTGTTTTTATTTATCTTTAAAAATGGCAATATTTTAAAATATAATTCATGATCCTTTTCAACAAACTAGAAATTTAATAGGCACCTCCCACTTGGTGTTACCCCATTCACTCCACATTTGTTAGTCGAAGAAGTCAAGAGACAGAACTTCAAATTAGGATTAGTGATTGATCTAACTAACACCAACAAATACTATCTTGATAAGGTTGGCTTTATAACCTACTTTAAGTCAAAATCTGTTCATTTGTGATCGTTTTAAATAGAAAAATTTATATAAATCATAAAACTACAGTGATATATAAATAATTTTTTATACTTTTTTCAATAATATTTTTAATTAACCATTTTAATAACATCTCCAAAGTTAATAACAGACCAAGGAGTTAGGTACAAAAAAATCTACACCGAAGGCCACAAAGTACCCAACGCTAAAGTTATCAAACAGTAATGGCTTTATTTTCTTATATTTGATATAATTATATTAACATTTAAAATAAATATATATTATTATTGATCTTATTTTAATTATTCTATAGTTATTAGTTATTTCAGTATCATATCTATTTTTTCTCCAGCTTAATATTTTTTTTTTTTTTTATGTCCTGGTTATGACATTAAACTGACCCTCACTGCCTTGTGAGTGATGTTGGATCATCAAAGGCTAGGCCCACCGCTTATAACTGTGGTTGCATAAGGAAGGGCGTCCTGCGTAAAAATTAGCCAAATAAATTACTTATGATGGAATGGCGTCAAAGGGTATTTCGGTTTCATCATAGGTAGCCAAACGGCAACCCCCGATCTCGGGGAAAATGTCGTCTAAACGTGTGTTGTTGTTGTTAATATTTTTTTTTATAAAATAAGTTAATTCTTTTTCATAGATTCTTTGCAGCTGTTGATACCTTCCTTAAAGAGAATAATGATAATTCAGGTTGGCCTGGTTTTTATAAATTTTTTTTCAAATTCTGCTAATCTGTCTATTTGATCAAGTTATTATTATTTATCTCTGTGATCAACTTTTCATTTGTTCATCTATGCAATTTAATTATACACCTGTCCATTATTTTTAGTATTTAAATCTTTGATTGTTTTAATTTTCTAGATGTTATTGGCGTACATTGCACTCATGGAATAAATAGAACGGGTTATTTGATATGTCGGTTAGTTAGTTAATGGGATTATGACAAATTTGTAACAAATTTATATTACCGATTTGTATTACATTTTTACCTGTAATAATGTCAATTTGAATTACATCTTTACTGTGTTATACTTATAACTCCATCTCTTATTTATTGCACAGTTTTTAAGATGTATAAATTTTGTCGTCAAATTTTTTGGTAATTCTGAATTGTTTTAACTTCCCTGTATATACCATTATCATAGATTATCAAATTATCTATGTTTATTTGTAGTAGTAGTAGTAGTAGTAGTAGTAGTAGTAGTAGTAGTAATAGCAGTAGTAGTGGTATCATTATTATTATTATTATTATTATTAGTAGTAGTAGTATCATTGTCATCTTAAACTATTTCATTTTATCATCTTATCTAACATTATCTTATCATTTCAATTAATTTATAGCTACATGATAAATAGGATGAACATGGCACCTGATAAAAGTGTAAAAGGTCTGTTTGAAAAACTTGTTCTCTCTCTCTCTCTCTCTCTCTCCCCCCCCCCTTTTTTTAAGCTTTTTTCACTTCTCTTTCTCTTCTCTCTCTATTTCTCTGTATGTATATAAACATTAACATATACAAAAATTGTTTCATAATTTATTCAAGCATTCAACGAAGGTCGAGGCCACGCCATAGAGAGGGAAAACTACCTTGCCGATTTGTATAACCCGGACAGAAAGTCAATAAAATGCTTATAATTTAAATAAATATTTTAATAAGTTATTCTTCTTTGTATTACATATCGACTTTTGCCAGATTTATTTTAATTACAGGCTATTTTACTTTTATTTTCATCACCAGAGTCAATTTTTCGAATGTCTTTCACCCAATAATTTAACATCATTTGCTTTTTTAATAGGATTGGTTTTTGCATTCAATTCATTCACTGATTGCCCTCCTAGTCAGTTTTTAATGAATAAATATTAAGAAATTAGTGTCCAGTATGAAATAAAAATCTAAAAAAAATTGCACACTAAATTTTGAAGAAATATAAATTCTAAATTTTTCAAAAGATGGTTAAATTCTCGATTAAAATAATTACATAGGTTAATTGGTCAAGCAAGGAGTGCAACAAACAAAGAAGATGATGGTGAGGAGGAGGAAGAAGATGAAGAGGTTGATGAATCATCATCAGCAGCCGCAGAAACATGGAGTGGACATGGCAACGGCTACAACTCTCCAAGACCAGCGTATAAGCAAAACGACTTCAACTCATACAACCGATATAATATTTTAAGTGACATGAATGACGACATCAACAACAACAATGGTGACATTAACTACGCTGGTCGACAACAGCAGCAGCATGGCCATCAAAATCATCACAACAATAGCAACACAACATGCACTACAAGTAACTCAGGATGGCTTAACTGTAACTCCCCATACTACAAATCATTCAGCATGTCCACAACTAATAACTTTCAAAAAATCAACGATCGTGACAACAACTTTGGTAACAGCATTCACACAAATGACATTACACAAAAATCATTCACAGGCTATAAACAAAAATATACAAATACGAACAGTACATACAATGCATACAACAGCAACAGCAGATTTCAAAATAACAAGCATAGATATAATAACCCTAATTACAATAGGCATCATCATGACACTAACCAAGGCACATTACATGATGATGTTACATCAGATGTTAATGTTATCCCTCCTTACAGCAAAAAGCAAAGACAATTTTAACATCAGGGAATCTATATTTTAAAATCGAGAAATCTATATTTTTCATAAATGATAGGACCTAACTCTCATTAGTTGATTTTTGAAAGATATATTATTTACTAATTATACTAATTTCTTACTAATTACTAAGTTATTTATATAACAAGTTTGTAACTGATATCGAAGCAGTTAGCAATGATATTGTTAACACCTGACAATAATCTTTGCCAGAACTTTTGTTACTGATTTTAATAAAAATTATTTTCTTAATAAACTGTTGTTGATATTTTTTATTTAAATGCTGCAATCCATTGTCAAGTATTAAACACAATAATTGTAATGGATTTTTTTTTATACAAATTCTCTTCAAACAAGATTTTATTTTTTAAAACACGAGATTGCAAATTTCAGAAAACACTGGATCACCATTTAAATTGTCTGACATCTTTGTTGAAGTTGTACCTATGCATTTTGCCATCTTGATTGAGCTTATAGACGTATTTAGTGGGGAAGTGGTCTTTATTGAGTTCATGCAGTTGGAGCGTTCTATCCAATGTCTTCTGAACTGTTTCTTTGGTCAGTGCCCACTTATTCTTTACACCTTCACTTGGTACATTTTGATTCTTTAAATTATTAGTGTTGTCATTATTTATGCTGGGGCATATATTTTTATTGAAAATTAATTCTCCATTGCTTTTTATGATGACATTCTCAAAATCTGTCGGATGCTGTGGGAGGCCATGTGGAAATTTTAATGGCTGTATTTGCACAAGATGTTTCACTTCCTTCAGCATTTTATTCACGTTTGGAACATTTTTCAGGACAACTGGCTGGTTCAACTGTATGAAAAGTATCAAAAATTTTAAAAATACATTTTGTTTTTAATTGACAAAAATTAAATATTGTTAATCATTTGTGCATAGAAAGAAAGTTGTCAAAATTAAAAAAACTAAGTCACCTTTCCTTCGAGGCCTAGTTCAGATATGATATCTTTTTCCCACCAAGCTCTACCGTTCGTTGGTTTGGTCAATGTGACGAGGTGCAGCATGTGGGGTCCCTTGTTGATGTTTTTTTGAGCTTCATCGACAACCTTCAAACCGTCAAAGAGCACCTGAGTCCATTCAAGATTGTCAGGCGATTTGTTGCGCTCAGCGAGGCGTTTCTTCTTCGTAGTGTAGTGAAGGAAGAGTCCATTCCTGGTGAAATTCAGCTGTACGGATGAGCGGGGCAGAAGAGCCTTCGTGCAGCTCAACTGAAAAATTTCGACATTTTAATCAAATTTATGATATTAAAATATATCTCGCGAAAATAAAACAATTTGTCTCAAACTAACTCACCGATGCACGTTTAATCATCGAACGTTTGAATACAAATGATCTTGAAAGATTGCCGATTGATTCACAAGAGCGATATTAGAGATTTATTATTACAATTAACATTTAAACATAGATTTTTAATCAATGTCTCATAAAATAGAACACTGAAGACCAGACCGAGACTGTTTCCTGGCTACAATTTCAATTTCAAGCGTCGAATTACAAGAAATAATTTAGTGACTGCGTCATCATGATAATAATTCAGCTGGAGAACTTTTTTTACTATCATACAAATAATTGAAGCGATATCGAAATTTTAAAAGCATTAATGTCAAAATCATTTATTCACATCAACATTCTTCGTGATGTAGTGTTTAAAGAATTCATATACGGACCAAGCCAGAGCAGTAGATGGCATCTGATACACCACTCTGGCGCTTACGCCTTTGAAAAAACCGGGAATGCCGTTATGAGAATAAATTATTTTCCCAGCTGCAAAAAGTCCCTTGATGGTCCTTGGTTTGTCAGATAGAGATACAACACCAATCGAACAACCTTCTTGTGTATTTAGTAATGTTTTGCAGACGTCAAGAGGTGTCGTTACTGCAGCTGCAACAGCGCCGGCCAGCGCTCCAGAAATTATATGGCTCTTAGGATTGTAGTGGCGATTTTCATTTAAGAAATCTTGACCTAACTCATAAAAAATAAAGTGTGTGCACTGGAAGGGTATGTTCATTGATAGCTGTGTCAAGTAACTCCTGTAGAATGCTCTTGGTCCCTCACGTCGATTGATACAGCGGGCACAGTCAAGACAAGATTTGTAAGGACTGTTGTACACCTGCATTCTCTGCTTCACAACTGCAAAGTAGAAAAAAATTTTTAATAACAAATTAGCCGAAATTATATTTTTAAGAACACTTTCATCAAAAATTCTACACATTTTCAAGCAATTAATAATCATTATTTTTCAAAAATAATCAATAAAATTAATAAAATCATAATGATGCACAAACCTTCTGCAGGCGTCATGATGGCATCGTGTAGTAATGTGGCTCCTATACCCGCCAACCCTATGGATCATAATTTAAATTTTAAATTTAATTAACTACTCTGTAATAAAATCAAATAAAATAAATAAAAATTTAATCTACAGAGTTAGAGACCTGGAGTTAAATGGCTATGGTTTGTGTATTTGTTAAGAATCTTTTTAGATTTTTCATAAGCAGCAAAATATAGTGCATGAGCAGGCCCTGCACCATAAATCGTGGCATTTATTCCTCGAACTGTCCTCATAGGCCCCTCGTATCTTATTATTTTGTAGAATGCATGAATCATGTTTCGATAATTTGCTCTTGGATCTGGTTTCTGTGCTTGCATTCTTGTCTGCCATGGAAATAAATAAAAAATTTTGAATGAAAACTAAATCTTTATATAAACATGGCATGATCATCAGTGTCTTTTAATAAATTTTATTAAGATTTTATATTTTATTAAGATTTATCAAAAGAAAATGAAAATTGAATATTAAAAATTTAAATTTTAAATAAAAAAAAAATATTATAAATGACATCTGACTTTGACAAAATCGAAAGGGTACATGACACAGTGTTCCATGAGACCAGCAAAAGCCCCAGCAACCATGTGAACTGACGCTGATGTACTGCCAGGCAGACTTTCGTAATCATCTTCCTCTTTCACTTCTTCAAAATTGGCTGCCATTTCAATAGTTTTAATCAAATTTCTTTTTAGGAAGAAACAACCAGTGGATACTACTGATTAGTGATGAGTGTTTCTTGTTCACTTTCACTAACGTTGATCACCGGGGTACGTCTGAAGTTGAATGGCGAACGAGGAAAAAACCCTATCGATCACGCAACTATCCAGATCTCCATTATTTTTTTATTTTATTAGCACGAGAAAAATTCCGATAGAATGTACAACATCTTAAAAGTAAATTTTTATTTTAATTGAATTAATACTTGCAAAATTAATAGTTATATATTTATAAAATAATTGAAAATTTAATTAAATTTTATAAACAAATTAGAAGTTATAATTGAACAAAATCGTAGTTCTATGCCCTATTATGTTAATTATATAAACAACCGAGTTAATGTACGTAAACTGTGTATGAAAAAATCTCATGCTTCGTAGTATTGTTTAGTTCTTTAAAAAGTTTACTTTTAATGAATCGATTGAATTAAAATTTCACATTTAAATTAAAATTTTTTAATTAATGGAGAGTTGTACGTTGCATAAAATTCTCGAGTCTTTCAATGCCCCAATAAACGAGGACCAAGCCTGGGCGGTGTGCTTCCAATGTGCCAAGTTTGTGCAGAATCACCACTCACTAGCTTCTCAATCTAACTCCGTAAAGTTAGTGAACCGGCGACAAAAACTCGAACAGTCGAATAGTAATGATAATAATAATAATAGCAATCAGCTGATCACTTTGAACCATGTTGTCTTGGGGATAGATGGGAATATTCTGGCGCTATTCAACCAATCAAGTTAGTAATATTTTATTAATTATTTAATTATGAATAATTAGTAAAGTCAATGAATGATTAATTAGTGAAAAGATAGCAGTTACACTTGGGCTTGCCAATTGTTTAATTAGAACAAGTTGATTTAAAAAACAAACAATTTTAAACAAATTTAAATTTTAAATAGTAATTTATTAATAATGACATTTTAAAAATAAATGCTCAGACAGTCACAAGCGCAAAGAGGCTAGAGATATTTTTATATGAATTATAATTATATGAACTTTTTTATGAAAAGTGAAATAATAATTTGCTGTCAACTAATTTCATGCCTCACAGGTTCTGTCCCGAATGTAAGAGAGAAAGAGGTTATTAAAACTTTTTCTACCTATGTAGAGATGACAAAATGGTGTTTTTAAATTATAAACATAATTGAAATTATTCATCAGATTGTCAGATCGTTGGGCATTACTTTATTTCAAGCATTGGATTTTGGCCTGAGTGAGAATGAGGAGCAGAAATTGTCGTCTGCCCTTGAAAGTTTGATCGGCCAGATGACAGGAGAGGGAGGTACAAGGAACCAAGATGGCGATGAGGGAATCGTTGATGATGACAAAGATGACGACATCACAATTGATGATGTCATTGAAGTTAGCACTTTCCACTATATTATGGCAAATTAACATTCCAAAATTCCAAACAAACTAAAATCTTACATTCGAGGCATTCACTTTCTTTTGATGAATTCACCCCAAAACGTTTCAATAATTGCCATTGGTCTTGCCACAAATGCAGATTTGCAGCAGGCACATAGGAAAGGATGTAGATGTAGCCATGCACTGCAAAGCTGTCTGTCGAGCGCTCGTTCACGAATCAGCAGAACTGAGCACATTTCTCGAAAGAGTTGTCTCAGAACATGAAGTGAGTTCTGTTTTTCAGGCCAAGGTCATACTTTTTTTCTTATTTTTTAAAATAAATAATTATTTTTCCAGTAAATCATGCTTATTTAGATGGATACTTTTAATGAGATTGACATTATTAGTGAAATTTTTTGAATTAAAACTGTTTGATCCTGTAAAACTAACTTGACACTGCCTAATGAATGTTACAGAAGCTGAACGAGCTGTGTGAAGAGAAGGGTTCAACAGACTCCATTTCAACATTACAGAGAAGAGATTGGGTGAGTTTGTCAACACAACATGTTATAACTTTTCCTCTTTAATTTTTTTTATCAAAATTTCAAATTTTCTCACCAACAGTTGAATCAACCACAACACTCTGCATCTATTTATTCAATAAATCATTCATTCATTCATTCATTTATGCATTCATTCACTTATCCATCTACTCATTCATCCATTCAATCAATCCATCATTTATCCACAAACCGTTCCCGCATACAGGCCAGATTGTGGATGCAGGTGATGAATGAATTGAGATTAGGAGTGAAGTTGAAGACTGTTCAGTCGACTATCAACCATCCGCTAGAGTACGAACTGACACCTTATGAGATACTAATGGATGATATCCGGATCAAGAGATACACACTCAATAAAACATTTGCTAGTATCATTTTTCATAACTATCTGTCTTAAAGTATTTGCATGCGTGTGTCTGTATTTGTGCGTCCATATATGTGTGTGTGTTTGTGTGTGTCATATATATGTGTGTCTGTGTTATTATTATTATTATTATTACTATTATTATGGGGACAGAAGAGTGTGGACAGCTATCCGGTAAAAGTGAAGAAGGATGTGCACGAGATCATTCTGGATTTCATCAGATCTCGCCCCCCGCTTCAACCTGTTAGTTTGTATGTTTGTAGGTGTGTATGTTTATGTGTTTGTTTGTATGTGTTTATGTATGTGTTAGTATGTATGTGTGTATGTATATATGTGTGTTTGTATGTATGTATGTGTGTTTGTATGTTTGTAGGTATGTATGTCTATGTGTTAGTTAGTTTGTATGTTTGTCAGTAGACTTAGTCATCATGGGTATTCCATTCAGGTGGGGAAGAGGGTTCTTTCAGCTCTTTCTGATAGGGGCCATCTGGACCCTAGGCAAGAGTTACTGTTATCCATTCGAAACCACCCACCCAAACTTAGGCCCACCCCTGGCCGGACTGGTACGTTGTTTTGGAATCTCGGTAGTAGTGGTGATGGTGATGATGATGGTGGTGATGATGATGTAGATGGAAAGCAATAATAAGAATACTGATGGTTAATTTTGTTGATGGTGATTCTGTTTTGCTGGTGCTGCAATGATGATGATGATGATTATGGTGGTGGTGATGATGATGATGATGATTATGATGATGATGATGATGGCAGGAAGGAATGATGGAATCGCAATGAACGAGCAAAATGGTGGCCCTGTTAAGAAAGTTATCAAACCGGATCTGAAGCTGTTGGCTTTCAATAATTCAGATGTTAGTGGACGATGATGATGATGATGATGATGATGATGATGCTGGTGGTGGTTGTGATGATGAATAAGGCGATGATGATGATGACGATGACAATGATGATGATGGGCACGGCGTTTTTCCTGAACGGTTGTTTGAAATGAAAGATGATGGAGATGAGTAAGGGTAATGAAAAGTATGATAACGATGATGATGATGATGGCGATGATGATCGTCATAACAGACAAATGAACGATGATGATGATGATGATGGGGAAATAATAGTAATAATAATAATAACACCAATCAATCGAACCTCATCCTATCTACATAATTCAGGATGAAGATAATGATTCATTTGACGGTTACAACAAAGATGCTGGTGGTGATGATGGTGACGATGATGACGATATCGGTGTCGATGATAATGATGATGATAAAAACAAAGTTTCAGCTTCACTCTTCACACCACTGACACCACTTTCGCCACAAAGTCCCCCGAAGCACCTTCCATGGCAGCACACCGGTTGGTTCGACATCGTTCTATTTTCACTGCCATTGCTATTGTTGTTACTATTAATGTTTTGTTGTTGTTGCTTTTGTTGTTGCTGCTTTTGTTGTTGCTGCTTTTGTTGTTGTTGTTATTATTATTCTGTTGTTGTTTCTGTTGTCATTGCAAACAACAGCACCAACTGAACGATACTTAATATTCTTGATATCAAAAAGCAAACAAACAAACAAACAAACAACAACTGAATGACATCATTAACATTGATGACATCATCAACAACAACAACAACAATGCAAGCACTAGACTTGCTGATGTTAAACATGGCGTCACCTTGGAAACCAGTGAGAAGGCACAGCATAACTGTCTGTGAAACGGCTCGAGTTTTCAAAAATTTTCCTCTTCCAAAGGTGGTTCTAGAGAAATGCAAATGGAAAAAATTTTAAAAGTTGTACAAAAAAAATTTTAAAATGTCAAGTTTTTTTTAAAAAAAGCTTTTTCAAAAAAGCCAACGTGCATGCAAATTTGATTAGATAGATAGAGATTGGAGTTTGAAGTTTGGGTTAATTTTTATAGAAGCTGAAATCTTTTCAGATGTTTGTTTGGCTTGTTTTACGTTTTTATTTTATAAATCTTTATCATGTTGGTCATGTTTTTGTTGTTTAGATCTAACGTCATTGTATTATGATACAATATTGTCTTTCGTTATGACTCTCAATTTTTGTGACTGGTTTATTAGCATCTGTTCACTTTACCAATGAATGATTAATTGCTGATTAATTGGATTGAGTGAGTGAGTGAGTGAGTGAGTGATTGAGTGAGTGAGTGATTGAGTGAGTGAGTGAGTGAGTGAGTGAGTGAGTGAGTGAGATTGAGCTTATTGATTAGAGGTTGAAATTCATGTTGAAAACTTGTATCGTTTCTCAACTAGCACAGTATTCATCGTATTGCTTGCAATTTAACATTACCTACTAACCTATCACTATGAATGGCTGTTGGCTTTGTGACAACTTTTTAAAATGGTTGTCGAAAGGATTGTTACATTGTTGCCTATTTAAATCTATCACTGTCTACAACATTGAAGTTCATTGTTTCGTTGTTTAAGCCTAATTTAACATTCCTCTTGAGTTAATTGCTTCATTGTTTACATTAATTAGTTCCTATTAACACGATTACGTCATCATTAGCGTCATCGACACAAGCTGCTGGCCACAGAAAGAAATCGTTGTCGTCATCGCTATCACCATTTCAAAACGCGTCGTCACCATTCCAGCCGCTAGCGTCATCGTCAGCGTCGTCGTCATCGTCATCTTATAACAAGCGTGTGGGTTGTTCGTCGTCGTCATCTTCTTCGTCCACGTCATTCCAGAATCAAATTGATAACTTCATGGCTCCTGATTTTGTTAGTAGAATTCTTTTTTTTTCTTAGTTTGTTTCGTTAATTTTTCATATTTTCATTTAACCAACTTGAAGTTTCTGATATTTTTCTCTCTATAATTGTCTGTCACTAGATTTCCATCTATCATTTTTAATCGTCATCCTTCAAAATATCTTGATAGCAAGGCAAATATTGAAGTCAATCATTTGCATCATCATTGGCATTGCAATCAACATGGTCTCACTCATCTTTATCGTCATCATCAGTTCTACTCACTATCATCATAAGTATTTTTTCTTTATTATCATCACATCTTTGTTATCACATCGTCTTCGTCATCATCATCTTCGTCGTCGTCGTCATCACCACTGCGACTAACTTTTTATTTATTCATTTATTTTAATCTGAAAGATATATTTGTTTGTGCGCGTGTGCTTGTGTGTGTGTGCATGCGTGCGTGTGTGTGCGTGTGTATGTGTGCATTCTAACTAATTACATATCTGTCTTTATATAATATATGCATGTTATTTTGCATGTAATGTATACAATGTGTTCGAGCATGATATGCTATGCCACTCACACACTAGTTAGTACATGTGTTTTTTTTCGTTTCTCTGATATTTCTGTCTGTTTGTTGTACTTTTTTCCAAAGTATCACGTGACGTGCAGCCGTTAGTATTTTTTATCATTTCCTTTTCCTCCTTTTACTTATTTTAGTTTAGTTAGTTTTTTTTATAAGTTTTAAATTACATTTGATATTTTCATTCAACCTCTTCACCTCTGTCTTATCTTTATTTAAACATATATACACGCACGCACATTATATACACGCAGCCTTCTAATGTTGACACACATACACACACTTATACTCACTCACACACACTTATACTCACACACACACATACTCACACACATACTCACACATACATACTCACACACACATACTCACACACACACACATACTCACACATACATACACACACACAACACACATACTCACGCACAACACATACTCACGCACAACACATACTCACACGCACACATGACAGCACAACATGACAACAACGATGGAATGTTTGTCGCTGACAATTGAAGAGGTCATGCACATCAGAGGTGTCCTCACGAAAGCTGAACTCGAGTGTCTGTCCACACACACACAACTACGTGAGATGCTGGAAGCTGGGAAGGTAGGTGTACATCATTGTACAATATGTTCATTATATTTTTGTGTACATTCATTGATTGTATACCCGTGTTTGCTGTGTGTACGTGCATTCTGTTATGATCATCATCACCATCGTCGTCATCATCGTTGCACATGCAGTTGTGTTTCACATGCAAGAAAGTGAAGTTCTCCTTATTTGGTCCCTGGTCCATAAAGTGCAAGTTTTGCAACAGGAACGTCTGCAGCCACTGTTCTAGCAAGGTCTCTTTTGTTTTTGGCTGTATTTATTTGTATAATCATCATCATCAGCAGCAGCAGCAGTTCAACCACATCACGTGATTCTCATTATAATATCACGTGATTCTCATTATAATATCACGTGATTCTCATCATAACATCACGTGATTCACATCATAACATCACGTGATTCACATCATAACATCACGTGATTCACATCATAACATCACGTGATTCTCATTATAACATCACGTGACACGACAGATGAGGATTCCGACAGAGCACTTTGAGCACATTCCCGTATACACGCTGAATCCATCCCTCTCCTCTTCTTCACACTATCACTGCTTCGATAACTCGCTGTTGGTCATGATGATGATAATGATAATGATGATGATAATGATGATGATGATGGTGGTGGTTAAAATTGAGATGATGTTTATGATGGCAGTGATGATAGTTAGGAAGATGTTGATGGTGATGATGATTGCCAGAAGGATGATGATTAAGCTGGAGTTCATGGAACGTTTGATTGTGTTGCGGTTCTTGGACGACGAGGATGATAATGATGTTGTTGATGATAGCGGTGATGATACATGATGATATATGATACATGATGATATATGATACACGATGATGCAACCATTTGAAAACAGGAGCGGATCGGCGCCATCGTCACCAGTCAGAGAGATCAAGAACAACAACCACAAAAATGCTGGTAGTAGGCTTCAGAAGACCACATCCTTCGACGTTGCTCCCAACCTCTCCACCACCACCACCACCGCCGCCAACAACAGCAACCACAGCAGCCACAGACGGACACTCATCCAACCACCTCCACAAAAAGAATCAATACTGGACCAAGCCAAGAAGACCATCCTGCTACGTTCTAGCACTCTCAGACCGTTCGCCTCTTCATCCTCATCATCCTCATCATTGAAGTCACAGCTGCTAGAGTCTGGACCCCTCATGAATATATGCAACGACTGCAAGAATATGGTCATTAGCATAATTAGGGCAAGTAGGCGGTGCTTGTCGATGATTGGTCGGCAGGATTCGAAGGGGCGGGGCGAGAGAGCCTACAGCGCTCATCCAACTTCATCGAGGAAGAAGAGTTTCAAGTTGGATCTCGTGAGAGAGAATAGTGAATGAATGAAACTGGAGGATAACGATTGAAAGATAGTTGAATGAATGGATGAATGAATGGATGAACGAAGGAATGAATGACTGAATGAGCGAAGCTTTGAATGAGTGAGTATGTGAATGTGTGAGTGAAAAACAAATGAATCATTAACGTGTAATGATTGAACCTGTTTTGTGAACAATTTCAGTGTATGCCAAATTAGAATTATTCAGTGAGAGAATTTGTGTGAATGAAGCAAGTTCATAAATAAATGATTGAATGAATGAATGGCTGAATTAATGAACGAACGAATGAATGAATGAATAAATGAATGAATAAATGAATGAAGGAACGAATGATTGATTGGTCGATCAACTGATGCTGATCGATTCAAAATAAAGCTGTGTAAATAATTACGATTGAAGTTTGTTTGTATTCATCACCAACTGTGTGTAAGTTTCTCGCAACACTCAAGCTATGAATAAATTTTCTGACAACTTTGATATCACCGAACAATAATAATAACATTAATAATAATAACATTAATAATAATAATGATAATAGTAAAGATATACTAAATGGACATTTCAGTATTTATTATTACTTTTGCTTTTAATTAGTGTTAGAAAAGTTTATCTAGTTGTGAATCTAAGCGTTCCCCAGCGATATTGTTGGCTGAATTTTTGATGGCTTATATATTCAATAACATTTCTTAGAGCTCTATGAATTAATTAATTAACTAATTAATTAGTTAATTAATTAATTAGTTTGACAGGCGGCGAGATAGTGGTTGAGTGAGTGAATGGTTGAACGAAAAAATGATAGATTGAATGAATGAGTGATTGATTGAATGAATAGATGAATGAACGATTGATTGATTTATTGATTGTTTGGCTGGTTGGTTGATTGATTGATTGATTGATTGATCGATTGATTGAATAAGAATGAAATCAATTAACCTAACAAACTAACCAAAATAAGGTTGTCGAAGCAAAATAATATTTACCCATTTTTCTACAAAGTTTAAATTTAAAACTCTCCAATTGGCCGTCATCTTTGCATTTTATTTCTTTATTTTCCAGCATTTTTACTCTATCAGTACAATCGTTAGCACGCAGGTAAGTGTACATTTTCAGTAATTGCTTTTGAGATAATTTAGCTACTATATACACTCAGTACCAATTCTCTTCATATATCAGTATGCCAACTGTCGTTTCGAATTTAACTAAATTCGAATCGTTATACCCACACAAATACACATACACACACAAATACATACACACACAAATATATATATATGTGTGTATGTATGTGTATATATATACATATATAATACTATTTAAGTATTATTTGTTGTTGTCATATTTTATTAGTATCTTATTTAAGAATATCGCATCTCAATCTTCAAAAATGCGCAAAAAAAATACACGTATGTGTATTTACCTCAACATATGTTTAACACACACACACATATACATACATACACACACAAACACACACACACGTACATACATACATACATACAATACAGAGACGCATGTACAATCCTATATACTTTCATATTTATACGCATAGAGTTGTAATAAAAATCTGTACGTTTGTCTGTGATCATGTTTTTGAAATCAAAACTTCCTTTCATTATTATTATTGTTATTTTTATTTTGATTATTATTATTTTTATTATTTTTATTATTATTATTACGTTACGAGTTAAATTTTGAAACATCATTATTTTATATGTTTATATTTATCTTATCGAGTTACAATTCTTTTTATTCTTTTCCATTGCATGCATGTTTATAGGGCTGTGTGCTGTACACATACGTATACACTGACATACGTGTACACACATACGTGAAAGGATATGTACACAAACACATATGTTTATTTTCACACACATACCCACACATATATGTATATAATTGAACGTTTCGTTGTTTTGTTTGTTTGTTTGTTTTTTGTATGTGAATCCTATTTATGAACACTGAGTTTTAATTTAACCACACGTAAATGTGTGTGCGCGTGTGTGTGTGTGCGTGTATGTGTGTGTGTGTGTGTGCGTGCGAGCGTGTGTGTTTGTATGTACGTGTTTTTTTTTTCATTTTTCACCTGCTATCTCTATATGTCTAGAGTTTGATTTTACTTTTCTCTACTCCTTACTGCTATTCATTTTTCAGTTCAGTCATTTTTAAATAGTTACACAAATTATTATTTTTATAATAATAATATTAATAATAATAATAATTATTATTATTTATTATTATTATTATTTCGTAATTATTTTCGCCATATTTTTAAAAATAATCAAATGTTTTTTTTGTGTCATCTCCTTAATGTATATTTTTCTGTCATTCACTGTAATCAAATTCTTCTTCTTTTTCTCCTCCTTCTTCTTCTTCTTCTTCTTCTTCTTCTTCTTATTATTATTATTATTATTTGTTGCTATATAATATATTACCCCGTGTTTGTGTTTTGCTACACACTACACACACTATTTCATATACATGTATGTAAATATATATGTATATATATTTTCTATATGTATATATATATATATATATATACTATATAGTAATAACCATTTAAACTATCCATCCGTTCATTCATCCGTTCATTCATTCATTCATTCATCCAGTCAGATAGATGGGGTTTAATGCAATAGTCATTTTGTAGCGCAAATTTTAATATTTTCAATTTTTTAATGCATTTATTTAGTTTATTTTCTTTTTTTGATATCTCGAGTTGAACTAATTAAAAAGCAGTCCGTAATAAATAAGTCATTATATCAATTATTTTTCTCACCGATCTGGCTGCTTTTTCAAATTCATATCGGTCCCATCCTAATCATCAACTAGTAAACACTTTCATATATTTTTATTATATATTTATTCGTTTTCTCTTCAAACATTATAGATAATTTTATTTTATTCAATAAAAGTTCACTTTTCGCATGGCTATTCAAGATTTTTTTTGAACAAAAAAATCATTGCTTCACGGACAGTTAAACGCTGAAACACATGTGAGAATTCGACGACACGTGTGTGTGTGTTTTTTTAAACGATCAATATCGTCCAAAATCCCCATTAGGCAGTTATTTCTATCTATCTATCTGTCTGTCTGTCTGTCTATCTATCTCTCTATCTTTCTATCTAATTTTCATTCCTTTCATTTTCTATCTTTCACTTTCTCTCTCTCTCTCTCTCTCTCTCTCTTTCTCTCACTATATTTCTCCCTTTCGATATATAGTTTCGCATGTATGTGTTTGTATATATATATATATATATATATATATATATATATATATATATATATATATGTGTGTGTGTGTGTGTCTGTTTGATAATAATAACGATGATTCAGTGTTACTATCTTAAGGGTCGGATAGATTGGAGGTTATCTGTTAATCTTCACTAATCTTCAAACTCTGCGAACATGCGCACGCAAGTTAAACTTTTTTTTTAACTTAAACGATGATCACTAAAAATAAAATGATGGAATTTACGTTGAATTGTATGAAAAATAAAAAATAAGACCTATATATATATTTAATTAATTAATTAGTTAATTAATTTTGTTTATTAGTACTTTTGTTATCATTAAATGTCTCCATCATCTGCTAGTTTGTTCAGCATCCGATGTTCAATTAATGTTTCAACTTTCATAAGACGGGCTGAACATCTATTGTCGTTTTTTCGACCACACAACAACAACAACAAATAAATAAATAATAATAACATCAACAACAATTATTGTAATTAAAACAACAACAACATTTGAAAATTTGAAAAAAAAGTTTCGGATAACAATAATAATATTGATGAAAAATTGAAATGACAATTTGATTTTGAACCATATACCCGTATGTGTTGCCGTATATTATCATATATTCAGAATATATACGTACTAACATACATACATACATACGTACATACATACATACATACATACATACATACATACATACATACATACAAGCATGCATGCATGCAAACATACAGTATACAAATATATACACACATTTATTGCCATACATTCTCTTTATTGAGGTAAATGTTGTTGCTATCAAACTGTCGTGCTTGTAAACATGCCTTTATTTTTTAAAATTTGAATTAATTATTTAAGTTAATGATATATAATAAGCAATTAATAATAATAATAATATATAAATAAATATTGATAATAATAATATTTAACAAGTAAGTCTGATGTGTTTATCAAGATATTTTTATTGACAAATGTGATTTTAAATATTTAAACTGCAAGATTATTTTAAAAACCATCTTTCAATTAATTAATTAATTAATCAGTTAATTAAATGATTTAATTTGATATCATTATTGTCGTCGTCGTCATTTCGAATGAAATTTGAAATGACGTTCATATGATTTAACACTGTAATTTTTTTAACTGCCATAAACGTGATTAATTATTATCAATAATACCATCATAATGCAATCGTCATCGTCAGATCAGATGACGTCATCTTCACCGGATGTCAACAACTCAGAATATTGCACACTGAATGAAGATGACGACATCTTGGTATTTTGCTTATATTATAGCGTTATCATCATCGTCGTCATCATCATCATCGTTGTCATCACCGTCGTTATCACTATCACCATCATCACATTCCACAATAGAGATGTACCGGATATACTCGGAACCGTTTGAAGTCGATCCTATATGCGGTACTGTGCGTATTATCGCTGGGTATCTTCTGGCTCTTTTGCTATTGGATACCGAAGTTGAAATTGTTCCTACTCTACTCAAGTTCATGCGTACAAGCTGCCGATGTTTTATATATCGAGGTTTGCCTGGTTGTTCATTGATGTTGTTGTCGTTGTTGCGTTGTATGTATCGTTGTTGTTGTATGTATGAAGGGCGGTAGGCGTTTTTTTATGAGGATGGTGATGTTGTTGTTGTTGTTGATGATGATGATGATGGCGGTAGGCGTTTGCTAATGATAATGTTTTTCATGATACTGACAAATCACGATGATTTAATGAGGTAACGAGGTAGCATATAATAATATAATTAATATCGTAATAATAATAATATAACCACTTTTACTATTACTACTACTACTACTACTACTACTACTACTACTACTACTACTACTACTACTACTACTACTACTACTACTATAACTACTACTACTACTACTACTACTACTACTACTACTACTACTACTACTACAACTACTACTATTATAATAATAATAATAATAATAACAATCTTCATCATCGTCATCGCCCTTTTAAAATACAGTCAATGGTTAACCACATCAGCAGATGTTTCTGCTCATCATTATTCTTGATTATTATTATTATTATTATTTGTTGAGACGGTGATACAAATAAAAATAATAAATAGTAATAATAACAAATAAATAATGATAAATGATATCAATGTTTAGTTTTTGATTTAATATCTGTCGTGTTGGGATATAATGATCGTCATCATCGTCATCACTGCCATCATCATCGTCGTCATCATCACCCCCGTCATCATTAACATCATCATCACTAACATCATCATCATTATCACAATTGCTTTAATCACAGTCGCTAGAACTGTGCACAGCGTATTTCCCGTTAACTTCATTATCAGCATCCACAACAGTATCAACATCGTCATCTTAATCATCATCCTAGTCATCATCCTAATCATTATCGTCATCATCATCATCATTATTATCTTTTTCATCACAATCACATCTCCGTTATCATTATACCAAAAAACATTTTTTTATTTCAGGATGCTAATGGGAATAAGAGTATTTTAAACGTGGAGACAGTTAACGTCAGAAAGAAAGAAGGGTGGGCTAGTCACTCTATTTTCTCTCCTTTCTCTCTCCTTTTTCTCCTTCTCATTTTTTTCTTTCCCTTTCCCTTTCTCTCTCTCTCTCTCTCTTTCTCTCTTTCTTTCTTTCTGTCTTTCCCTATTTTGTTTTCGTTCTCTCTCCCGTGGTTTCTTCTCTTTTTTTATTCTCTCTCTCTCTCTCTCTCTCTCCCTCCTTTTTATCTATTGCGTTTTAAAATTTTCATAATTTTTAATATCAGCTATAATCAAAAGCGCGTTTTAAAATAATTTTCATAATAATTTTTAATATCGGCTATAATTAAAAGTGATCGTTTGTAAGTAATTACGACCTCGCATTTTCCCTATAATAATAAATTGACGTTCGTTTTTAAATCTACAGAAAGTACCAAACTTTCGACAAAGGAGGAAGAAGGGAGAGGTTATTATTATTATTTATTATTATTATTATTATTTATTATTATTATTAATTATATTATTATTTATTTTTATTATTGTATGTGTTATTATTTCTCAAGAAGTTGTTGTTGATTTTTATTGTTATTTTTAATATTATTGTCGTAGTGATAGTAAAATCTCGAAATAAGGTTGGCTGTGCGTTTGTGCGTGTGTGTGTGTGCGAGTATGTGTGTGTGTGCGTGTATGCCAGTGTAAAAACCAAACCTTTCTATCGTCTCAATCCATTGGTTTCGGAGGTTTCGCTTTCGGTTTTCAAGGAAATAATTAAATACTGATTCATTGTTAACTTTATTTATATTATTATTATATTATCATTTTATTATTATTATCGTTGTTATTGTTATTGTTTAAATGATTAAAATGAATTTCATCATTAAAACAAACCCAGAAAACACGATCGAAGGGATGATGATGATGATGACGGTGACAGTCGTCACGGTGCTGCTGATGATGATGATGGCGAAAAAGATGATGATGGTGATGACGATGATGATGATGCTTACTCCGAAATGTCTGACTATATGATGAAGATCTCTGATAATGGTGATGACAGAGCTGGAGTCAGGCACAAAATATGTGGACGATTCACCACACATGTTAATATTACATTTTTATTAGATATAAATTCTCTCTCTCTCTTTCTCTTTCTCTCTACTTCATTATTGTCATTATCATAATTATTATAATTATTATTTTATCATCATCATCATCATCTTTGCCATCGTTATGACGTCACAATGACATCAGCGTATCAGATACTTCGATTATCAACACGCTAGGTACGTATGGAACGTACGGACGAAATCTTTCGATAGATTGAAGTTAGTAACATTTGTAAATATACTTACACAAGCTTACTTACAACGTATTTACAACCAAATTACTGAGACGAATTTTACTAATTTATTTTAATTAATAATTTTACGAAATTACTAAAAATCTCTTCATTTAAAAACTTGCCATAGATACACATTTTACTGCAACAACTACAACTACTGCTGCCACTACTACTACTACTACTGCCGCTACTACTACTGCTGCTACTATTGTAGTAATTGTACTTTTACTATCACTAATAGTATTAATTAATGTCGATTGTTGTCACTTCACATCAATACTTACTATACGAAAAATGAAACTTCTTCAAAATGACCTCAACTAATTTAAATTCGATTTGACCTTGACCCCAGCGGCCTAAAAACGTCACTATCGTGTCGTGACCTTCAAACATCCTTTCAAGGTTATTCTGTATCGAGTCGGGATTTCAAGTACGTTGGCTACTATTGACCTTATTATTATTGTTATTATTATTGTTATTATTATTATTATTATGACCACATTAACATAACAGGAGGAAGTTATATGGAATGAACGACCTTGACATTGAAGTCTACAGCTACTGGAGGATTCTCGTCGATGAGGTCAGGTCAAGGGTTAAGTTTTAAACCGGGAAATTTTAATGTAAGAATTGAGCTATAGCCCTTGAATTTTAACCTTGGTCTATAATATAATAGTATAATATACTATATGTACTATATATATATATATATATATATATATATATATATATATATATATACTATAATGGTAATCATCTTCATCATCGTTCTCATCACCATCATCATTGCTACTGTCAAATCATCATGACCATCATCTTCGTCATCGTCATCATCAACGTTGTTTGTTACATCATCATTACCATCACCATTATCATCATCATCATCGTCATCACTACCACCACCACCACCAGGCTCTCAATCCATTCTATGCCTTCCAGTTATTCAGCGTGACAGTCTGGATGTTGGACAGCTACTACATATTTGCAGGTTGCGTCGTCCTTATATCTGTATTCTCATTGACTCTCCAAGTCGTCGAGTTGAGGAAGGTGAATGAATGAATGAATTGATGAACGGATGGATGGATGGATGGATGGATGGAGGGAGGAAGGGAGGGAGGGAGGGAGGGAGGGAGAGAGGGAAGGAGAGAGGGAGGAATGGATGGATTGATGGATGGATGGATGGATAGATGGATGTATGGAGGGAGGGAGGGATGGATGGATGGATGAATGAATGAATGAATGAATGAATGAATTAATGAATTAATGAATTAATGAATTAATGAAGGACTGATTGTTAGATGATTGTTGCATGTTTGCTTGTGCACGCATGTGGTTCTCACCTCCATTAATGTTTCGTCATTATATTTTTTAGCAACGGGTTAATTTAAAGAGGATGATAACCACAGAACAACTGAATATCCCAGTGGTTAACGCAAGTTTGTTATTGTTTGTCTGTTCGTTCGTTTGTTCGTTCGTTTGTTCGTCTGTTGGTATGTGTACATTTTACTTTGATCATATATTTTTAAAAAAGTTGAAAAATGTTAATGGCAAAGAAAACAACGTCCTACCTCGGGGAACTGGATCTCTCTGGACGCTAAACGAAGATTGATTGATTGATATATTTGTATATATGTATGTGTGTATGTGTGCGTGTGTGTGTGTGTGTGTGTGTGTGTTCATTTAATTTTCTTTTTGTACGTGACAGTCGTAGAATATTTCATTTCCCTCCACAACATCAAATAAAAACTTGTCACATGCAAACAGAACGTGGTAGTCGCGTTGTAAAAAGCACGTCATCACGTGATCTGGTTCCTGGTGACGTCATTTTTTTCGACCCTCAGTACATTTACGGCCCACACGACCACCATGTTGATGATGATAATGATACTACTCAACATCAACACGATCATCATCAGCATCGTCAGCAACACAGCCACCATTACTTCATAATGCCTTGCGACGCCATTCTCATTGGCGGAAATGTCGTTGTTGACGAAGGGATCCTGACAGGTAGAGTTTTTACAATTATCATATTAGCAAGCATCATTTTTATTATCTTTTACTTAATTTTGTTCATTCATCTGTCTATCTATTCATCTATCTATCTATCTTGCTATCCGTTCATCTATCCATCTACCTATCAAACCATCTATTCATTAATTCACTGACATCCATCCATCCATCCATCCATCCATCCATTCATCTATCCATCCATCCGTCTATCCATCCATCTATTCATCCATCTGTCCGTCCATCACGCCACAATTAGGGGAAAGCATACCTGTAACCAAACTTCCAATACCCTCAACATCATCATCATCCTCACCACCGCCTTCATCACCACAATCATCATCATCGTCGTCATCATCATCGTATTCATCGTCATCATGTCACAAACACATTTTATTCTGCGGAACGAAAATACTTCAAATCCGTTCTCAAGTCAGGGCCATTGTCCTTAGGACGGGTAATGATTATGATCTTATTATCATTTTTATAATTATAATCATAATTATTATTATTATTAATATAATTATTACCGTCATCATTGTCACACACACGCACACAAACACACACACACGCAGGTTTTAGCACGGCAAAAGGCCAGCTAGTAAGATCCATAATGTACCCCAAGCCAATTGGCGAGTCATTTTACTCTGACGCTTTCAAATTCGTGATATTCCTTATACTGCTGGCCCTCGTTGGCATGATATATGCCTTTTGTATTCTTTCACTATATCAGGTTTCTGTTTCGCTTGTTTGTTTGTTTGTTTGTGTTCGTTTGTGTATGTATGTGTACGTGTGTGTGTGAGTTTATAACTGTGTATGTATATGTGTGTGTGTGTGTGTGTGTGCGCGCGCGCATTTATATATATGTGTGTGTGTGTGTGTGTTAATGCGTGCTTATTTCTCTGTTTAAATGTGTGTGTGTGTGCGAGTATTTGATAATAATTTTTAAAAAATTCAATCAGATCATTCGTAATATAACTATTATTACAAATGATGAGAAATGTAACGAACGAATGGCAGGACAAAATATTCGACCGGATCATAACCTCCCTGGACATCATCACCATCGCAGTACCCCCTGCACTGCCCGCCGCTCTGACCGTGGGTCTACTCTACGCCCAGAGCAGGTCTCTGATGATGATGATGATAATAATGTGGTGGTGGTGGTTGTGGTATAGTGGTGGTGGTGGTGAAGTGGTGGTGGTGGTGATGATGAGGGCGATTGTGAATTCGAAAAAAATAACTCTGGAGACGGATGACAATAAAAAAAAATTTGTTTATTAATGAAAAAATTATAACAAATTAAGCAATGATGCTACTACTGATGTTGATGATGATGACGATGATGATGCTGATGATGATGATGATGCTGGTGATGATGATAATGGTAAAAATACTGATAATGATAATGCTGATAATGATGGTGAGGAGAAGGAAAAAAATTGTGGTGAATCGAAATTCATTCCAACATTTTACAAAATAATACACGCGAGCTTATGTACTGCTCTCTCCCTCTCTCTCCCTCTCTCTCTCTCTCTCTCTCTCTCTCCCTCTCTTTCTCTTTCTCTGTATACATTAAAATATTGACAAACAAATATCAGTACTGAATTAACATAATATAACATGACGACATGTTGGTAACAGATTGAAAAACAAAGGCATATTCTGCACCAACCCGAGATCAATAAATTTATCGGCTAACGTAGATTGCTGCTGCTTCGACAAGGTGTGTCTGTGTGTGTGTCTGTGTGTGTGTGTGTGTCTGTGTGTGTGTGTGTGTATGTGTGTGTGTGTGTGTGTGGGTTTTTATTATTATTCTTATTACGCACTCTCTCTCTTTTTCTCTCTTTCCTATCAATTTGTTCTTCTTTCTAACTTATGATATTTCGTTGAAGATGATTAGTATATGATAATTTTGATGCCAATAAATGATGAAGATGACGATGAAGATGATGATGATGGTGATGAAGATAACGATAGTGATGATGATGATGATGATAATGATAATGGTAATGATGATGACGATGGTGATGATGACTGCAAACCAGACAGGCACGTTGACGGAAGAAGGTTTGAATTTTTGGGGCGTGGTCGAAGTTGATGACGATGCTACCAAAACATTCAAAGAACCAATCAGAGAGCTGGAAAATGTGCCAAGTGATCATTCATTGGTCGTAGCCATGGCCTCTTGCCACAACTTGAATGTGATTGGTGGAGAAGTTAATGGCGATCCGTTGGATGTAAAAATGTTCGAGGCAGTTAACTGGGTCGGTCATTTAAATTAATTTTTTAGTTTTAAATTATTTATAAATTTAAATATAAATATTTATTTTTTTTATTTTTAAATTTAAAATTGAATATTTATGAGCAGATAATTGAAGACGAAACAAGCACAGAACACGCTGGTTCTTTGATTGTCAGACCTCAAAATTCAGAAGTTTGTCCCATTTTCCAGTTTGAATTAGCCAAAAACTATTCACGAAAGTTTAATTGTCAACTTTAATATTGATCTAGGTCAGCAAAAGTGTGGTCCTGCTACGTCAGTTTCCATTTGAATCCTCCCTCCAACGAATGGGAGTCATCGTAAAAATTAGGTCAACCAATGAAATTGTCGCTTTCGTTAAGGGAGCCCCAGAGACTATGAAATCATTTTGCAAAACGGATTCACGTATGTGTAAATTCTTTACATTTTATGACGTAATTGATGATGTTGTTGGTCGATGACCCATGCATTTTATAAATTTTTGTTGCTGCTGCTGCTGATGATGACGTCAATGTTATATTCGTTATTGTTGTTGTTGATGCGATGTCATTAATGTGATGCCTGTTTTTAGATTTGTTTCCATTGTTTCATTGATATGGTCTGATCATAATTATTCAGCTAATAAAAAATAAATGAATAGATTATGAATAATTATGAGAAATATTGAAACATGAATAAACATAAATGTAAAATTCTCGCATATCAATTCTCAACACAAAATCGATAGTGCCGACAGATTTCGAAGAGACATTGAGGGATTACACAAGCAGGGGTCTAAGGGTTATTGCAATCTCATCCAAGAAGCTGGAAGCATCATTGAACTGCTCTGACGTTAAGAGGTTGTTCTGGAGTTTGTATGACTGTGTTTTATATTTTTATACAATTTTTTTTTATATTTTTTCTCCTATTAATTTCAAAATATAGTTATACAACGAGTTCTGATACAATCTATAATAAGATTTATATCAAAAGCTAAAAATAGCAAAACTTGAATTCCCATAAAAAAATGAAACAATTTATCTTTAATTTAAACTTCCAGAAACGAAATCGAAACTGCACTCAACTTTATGGGGTTTTTGATATTTGAGAATAAACTGAAAGAGCAAACTGAAGCCATCTTGAAGGAACTTCGCCAAGTCAACATTAGAACGATCATGATTACAGGTTTTTATATGTATTTTTATAATTTATTCAAAAAATATTTAAATGTGTTTCTCATGAATATTCAGACTTTAACGCTATCTTCCAGCCTAAAATTAACACTTTCAGTTGAATTTAGTAACAAATTTAATCGAATCAATATTTCACGGACTTCAAAAGATATACAAGTAAAATAACGAATAAATAAATAAGTTAACCAACTAATTTATTAATAGTGAATAAATTATGTTAATGAACCACACAGGCGACAACATGGAGACGGCAATTTGTGTGGCCCGTCAGTGTGGCATGCTGATGACTGGATGGAAAGTCATAAGGGTTGAGGCAACTACGTCATCGTCATCGTCATCCATAGACGACGAGAACAGGAAGTGCATGAAAAAAGACGATGGTGGCGACGTTGGTGATGATGGTGATGGTAGTGTCGGTCGTGATGATAGTAGCAATGGCGGTTATGATAACGATAGTGTGAGTAAAAGTGGAGCTAGCGTAAAGTGGATTCTAGATGTTGAGTTGAAATCGAGGAGGAAGTCATCTTACTACAGATCGGAGTCCATGAGTCAACATGGGAAGGAGGTGAGAGTGGCGTGAATGAATGAATGTTGGAAAGATGAATGAATGAAAGAAAAAATGAACGAATGGATAAATGAATAGGTGAATAAATAAATTAATGAATAGGGGATTGAACGAGCGTATAAACAACTGACCGAACGATAAAACTAACTAACAATCTTTGCTGCTCGTTCAGTTATTAATTATTAATTAATGAGCAACATTAATTATGTTTCGTTTAACTAGACACAATAATTACACACAACACACACACGTACACACACGCACACATGTACACACACAAATACACACACGCACACACCATACATACTTACTGACAAATTGGCAAATCATACATGATTCACCCATTCAAACATCCCACAAACAACAGCTAAGCACTCTGGTATCTATTCCTCTCAACTCGGAGACTGACGACGTTAAAGATGACGACGACGACGATGACGTAGACGGTGAAGACCAGGGATGTGCTTGTTATCATTTCGTCATTGATGGAAAAAGTTTTGACGTCATCGTCAATCACTTCCGTTATTTACTTCCAAAAGTCAAACATTTTCAAGTTTTCATTTGACTTTACATAGATACTCATTTTTTAGTTTTAAATACGAACATACGATAAATATTCTACAGAAAACAGTATTTATGTAACATTTTTTGATGAATATTGTTAATTATTAAAAAAAATTTCAAAAATTCTTGAAAAGATTGTCGTTGAATTTGGCAGATAATGACGAAAGCTACGATATTTGCACGTATGTCACCAGAACAGAAGGCCTATATCATTGAGTGTCTAAAAAACATCGGGTTAACATTTCATTTTCTTCTTATTATGCTAATTGTTAATTATCATTCATGTTATTTTTATGTATTTTGGTTGTATTTTGTATGCATTATTATGTATTTTATATATTGTGTTGAGTAGTATAGTATGGTTTTGCATTGTGTTGTATGGTAGGTATGGCATTGTATTGTGTTGTGTTGTACGGTATGGCTTTGTATTGTGTTCTGTGTTGTATTGCATTGTATTGTATTTCATTGTATTGTATTTCATTGTATTGCATTGTAGTGTATTGTATTAGGCTGTATCGTATCGTATTGTATCGTATTGTAATTTATAGTATTGTATTATTTTAACAACAAAATTTTCAACACTAGCTAGAAAAAATTTAGAGAAAATAAAAACCGCAAACAGTTACACGGTTTGCATGTGTGGCGACGGGGCGAACGACTGCACGGCGTTAAAATCCGCCCACATTGGCGTCAGTTTGTCGCAATTTGAGGCTTCTGTAGCCGCTACATTCACGTACAATGATATGGATGTGTCCTGCGTTCCCGCGATTATTAAGTTTGTTTGTTTGTCTGTCCGTTTTTCTTTTCTCTCTCTTTTTTTCCATCTCTTTTTCTCTATGACTGCTGTTTGTTTGTAAGTTTGTTTGTTCGTTGAACATTTCAGAGAAGGAAAAGGATCGTTAGTGACGTCATTCGGCATGTTCAACTTCATGGCTCTCTATAGCATCATTCAATACTCATCATTCATTATATTACTTGCCGTTAGTATTTGTTTGTTTGTTTGTGTGTGTGTGTGTGTGTGTGTGTGTGTGTGTGTGTGTGTGTGTAGGTTCATATATCTGTGTGTAGACACGTGTATGTGTGATCATTGTATGATTATTTTCACCACCACTTAACATAATTCATTCATAAATTACAAAACCACCTCTTAGTGGATGAAGAAGTTAGAAGACGGGATGTTCCTATTTATAGATCTCTTTTTGGTGACGTCACTGACGTTTACGAGTAAAAATTTATAATTTATTCATCATCATCATACTCATCATCATCAGCAGCAGCAGCAGCAGCATCGCAATCGTCATCATAATCATAACTCTATCGCGATCATCATCATCACCACCAAGTGGGCAGAACTCACCCTAGTGACCATCTTACGAAAAGACGACCGCCCAGTAGATTAGCTTCACCCGGCAACATCATTGGTCTGCTCAGTCACGTGCTCATTCAAGTTGGATTCCAATTGGCTGGAATCATGTTTCTCAAGAACCAATCATGGTTGGGGTGTCTATTTTAAAAAATAAAATCTTTATCATGCTAAATAATATTTTTAATAAATAAATAAAAATAAATAATATCTAATAAATAATTTTCAATAAAAATGAATAAAAAGACCAAATTAATTAAATTTTAAAATTATGAAAATAATTTTCTAGGTACAAATCCGACATGGACAAGACATGCATTTTTTACATAACATTGTTCCAATACACGAACATAGCGCTCACGTTCAGCTTAGGCTACGAATTCAAAAAACCCTTCTGGACCAATGGTTACAAATTTAATTGTTATGCAAACACACACATACACACACACACACAACACACACGCATATAGTACACATGCATGTACACACTCAAACAAAACTTACCAAGGCTTTAAAACAATCCTGTAACTAATTTTCAGCTTTTTTTTCATTTTCAAGTTTAATTTAAGATATTTGTTAAATAAATATTGAATTTATTTAATTTAAAATTACTAAATAATTAATTTTTTTTAAAATATTTGATTTAGCCTGGTTCATGGTTGTACTAGTTGCTTCCGTTGTGTCGTCTGTCGTGTTTGTGTTTGACCCACTGAAAATATCTTATTATCTATTTAAGGTGAGTTTTTCGTCACCATCCTCATCATCATCGTTGCAACATCATCACGGTTATTACATCATCATCTTCATCATTGTTATCATCGTCATCATCATCACCACCATTGTTACGTCATAATCATCATCATCCTCTTAAGTATTATCACTTTCATCATCGTCATCTTAAATGAAATGAGTCTTACTTAGAGTTGACTTAATTTTCGCTAACTCATTTATTAAATAATTCATTTATTTTTTTCATTCATTCATTTACTCAATCATTAATTCATCATTCACTCTCCATCAATTCATTATTCATCCATTCATTCAGACGAATTGGATAGGCGACGTCTTCTTCCGAATCCTCCTCCTCAATTTCGTCGTACTAAATGGCATATGCACACAACTACTGCAAGTGAGTGACTAACCACATACGTGACGTCATCACCACCATCGTCATCTCAATTACACCATAATCGTCAGCAGTATCACTAAATGAATGGATGAATGAATAAATGAATGAATGAATGAACGAACGGATAAACGAACCAAATCCAAGCATACAACCCGACAGATGTTAATAAGAAGCCAGTGGTGCATTCGAACGTGCGACTCATCACCTTGCAGGCCGGGACCACAACCGCTACACCAGATCATCAGCAGACAGCTTAATAAGGACTACACTTGGCCACCGTATGAGCAAAAAATGAAACACAGCTGACGGCCAGCCGGAAATAAACACGCACACACAACACACGTACACACATACATATATATACATTCTGATTTTCTGACCTCATCTCGACTAAGTTAGCCGTCACTGCAAAACCTTGAAACTTCTAGTATATATTCTAGTATTTTTTTCTGTTAATTTATTATCATTGTTAATGTAATTGTTATTATTATTGTTGCTGTTGTTATTATTATTGTTGTTGCTATTACTATTATTGTTGCTATTATTATTGTTGTTGCTATTACTATTATTTTTGTTGTAGTCGTTAACTTATCGTTACCCTATTGCATTTAAAGCCATTGTCATCATTATTAATATCATTAATTAAATATATATGTTCTGGCCAATTCTATTACCTCGGGGACTATGAGCACTGACAATAATAATAATAATTAATTGATTAATGAATTAATTAATCAATACAAATTTACAAATTATATTTAACCGGGTTAGATAATAAAAAGAAATGTTGGGTTAGAATATTCACGATATATCTAACAAACGAAAAAACGAACGAACAAACGAACGAACGAACGAATATATGTAAGGATGAATACAAGAATGAAAAAATGGATGAATTAATCAATGGATGAATGAACGAACGAATGAACAAACCCAACCAATCACAACAACACACAGTATGTGTTCTAAATATCATAAGTGTAAAGTATTATACACAAGTATTATAAACAGCTAAGTTATTGGTAAACACAGCTGTGTTTTTTCCGTTTGTGCGCGCATACGCACACACGTACACACACACGTACACACACACGTACACACACACACACACACACACACACACACACACACACACGTACAAACAAACACATACACACACGTATTAATAGCTTCTCAAAACATTAAAAAATATGTGAAACTACAAAAAATGATGTGTATTACGTAACAGGTAAACTCAAAACGACAATGACGTCAATGAACATCTCGTTCATTGGAGGATGATTCCATCACCTCCATCATCTGCTCCATCATCTGCTCCATCATCTGCACTCTTCCCGGCACCTTCCACTTCATCATTCTTCCCGGAACTGCTGTTACCCGGCACCTTGGTGATAACATGAATGTGAATTTTTCAAAATAATTAATAACGTTAATTATATTATAGCCGGAAATAAGATATCAAATAGACAAGGAAAAGTAAAATTAAATTTGTGAATGAATGACTGAATGAATGAAAGACTAAACAAATGAGTGAACGAACGAATGAATAAATGAACAAACAACACCAAATTTTTTACTTCATTTCTACTTTTCCTCTCAAGCTGCCAAGATGGAATGATGGGATTGGCGGGAGGAGCTAGCGGGAACTGATTCCTTAGAATATGTAAACGAGCATAAACAGTTAAAAATAGACATAAATTAACATATCATTAACACGCAATACAAATACACAAAATTTTCAACAAGATAATATAATAAACAGATCTAAAAATGAAACAACTTTAAAATAACTACACCTGGAATGAAAATGAATTCATCATAAACTAATGCATTCAATTAATCATTTAATTGATTAATTTATTAATATGATGAATAATTGAATTAAATAATTAATGAAATAGACCTGCTTAGGAATAGTGCTTTCAAAGATCTCAACTCCTCTTTAACTTCTGATGTCACCATCATCAACTCTGCGGCATTCTTTTCAACCCCCAAGAAAAAAAGAAAAAGTATAAATAATTAAATCAAATTAACGTTTAAAAGTTAAGTTAAATCGAAAAATTATCACAGAAATGTGAATAAAAAGAAAGGAAAAGTATCCTCAAAATAATTTTCCCAAAAAAATCACTACACCCAGAACCAAACATTTGCCAACAAGAACAACCCTGACCCCTGACCTTCTGATTACTGAGTTGTTCATTGTTTTTGGTGATCTGTCTTCTCAGGTCATTCAAGATGGCCAGCATGGACGCCATGTTGTCGTTCATTTCCATGATATACTCAATTGATCTCTCCAACGTGTCATCATCTTTCTTCGGCTGGGTGCGCCATAAAGGACTGATGTACCTCTAAAAAAAAAGGCAAAATTTGTGATAGCCAAATGGTTAGAGACGCCTTATCATGCTTTGTGGTGGTAGCCTTGTTCGAACGCAAAATATACGCGTTAATCAGTTTTTCATCAAAAGATTTCGGCCATAATATTTTAAACAGAGTTAGATTAAAATTGTTATAAAAACCAACAGGTGATATTTCAAATGAATTAATAATTAACGAACTGTTATTATAGACTGAATTTAAGTTTAATTTCAAGTTTTTAAATATTTCTGGCGTTTGTAATAACAACAACAACAATAATAATAATATAAATAAATAGATAAAACTATTTCCTACGTGGAAAACTTCCATCAAGGCATATGTAACACCACCGACAAGAGTAAACGTGAAGGCGGAATATTTGAATATGGACCACAATGAGCTTGGTTGCTGGTTCCCTGATGGATTAATTTATTAATTTAATTATTAATTAATTAAATTAGTTTAGATATAATAATTTTTTATAGTAATCATTTGTTTAAATATATCAATCATTAATAAAGTTATATCCAAAAAATTGAAAATTGCACAATGAAATGTCTAATTTGAACAGACAGCTTAGCCATTAAACCACCATGTAGCAATAATTCAACAGTTAAATTTATCATTTGTTAACAGTTTTATAATAATTAAATAAATCGTATGACCATTTTTTACTGAAGAAATGTATCTATCATGTTTAGTATTTTTAATGTTATTTTAAAATTTTTTAAAAATTATCTTTAAAAAATGTATTTTAATTTAATACTAAGATTAGTAATGGGAAAATATGATTCCATTTCTGATATTCTCAATGCTTCTTCAACTTCATCATATGTTAACCCTGTTTTGTTATGTAATAATTGGTATGTAGTATATATGTATACTATATAACTATATATATATATATAAATATCATAATATAATATATAATTTATATATATTATATATATATATATAATATATATATATAATATATAATATAACCTTTTGTTAATAAAAATTGCCTTTTCCTTGCTATAGGACTGGCTCTTACTTCATCATTCTTTAAGAATGCTACCGCTGTTGAGATCTTAAAAAATTAAATATTTTAAATCAAATCAATTAGTTATTAAAAAATAAAAACAGATTTAATAACTTAATGACTCAATTAATCAGCAGCTCACGACTTTATTGCACTAACTACACTGGCTACAGAAGCTGACTAACTTAAAAAACTAACCAGTGACTCTCTTCTACCTCTACTGATCAGCTGATCTTTGCTCTGTTCCTCAGTCACATTACAGCCAGCACTAACAACCTAACGTAAAAATCATTAAAAAATTGACAATTACGTTTTAATATGAAATACACGTCTAATTCATGCCCAAATATTGCATCACGAATTATGAAAAGTAGAAAATTTAATAAAGGCGAAACCGTACATCCATAATTATGAACTTCTGAAAGCTGGATGCAGTTTTGGTTTGCATAGAAAGTTAAACATTCTCAAGCAACTTTAAACAAAACCAATATCATATACTTAGAAGGAATTTGTTATATTGGGATATTCGTTTAAAAAAGCGAGAAAAATTTTAATATAAAAGCGCATATAAATCTATGCATATTGGCCCAGCTTGGCTTGGCTCGGCTTGGAATCGGATGTTAAGCAAGGTGTGATCCCAAACTATTTTGAATTCTCCCCGAAAAATTTGAACTGCGTGCGTACATATATAGTAATGGCTACTGTTGTTTTTTATAATGAATTTATAAAATATATAAATATAGCGAGCAAAATATTAACATAAAAGCGCTTATAAATCTATGCATATTGGCTCAGCTTGGCTTGGCTCGGCTTGGAATCGGATGTTATGCAAGGTGTAGTCTCAAACTATTTTGAATTCTCCCCGAAAAATTTGAACTGCGTGCGTACATATATAGTAATGGCTACTGTTGCTTTTTATAATGAATTTATAAAATATATAAATGTAGCGAGCAAAATATTAACATAAAAGCGCTTTTAAATCTATGCATATTGGCTCAGCTTGGCTTGGCTCAGCTTGGAATTGGATGTTAAGCAAGGTGTAGTCTCAAACAATTTTGAATTCTCTCCGAAAAATTTGAACTGCGTGCTTACATATATAGCACTGATTACTGTTGCTTTTATAATGAATTTTTATTATATATATATAAAGTGACTGGAATCCATGTATACAAATAATTAAATTATATTGTATTAGATTATATGTTTATATGAAAAGCAATATAGCAGATTCAACCAGCCAACCAGAAAGTTTCGAAGGCGTTCGTTCGATGACTTCAATTTAGTACGGTTAGCATTGTGGTTAAGACTGTATAATAGTACAGTATATACATTAAACAAGTTTTTTACTGATGCGAATGATTGAAATGATGAGAATGTATGGTTGAAACGAGTATAAATAGAGGAGCTGAGACAACATGAAAATCAGATCAGCATTCTGCCTCGCTTGAAGCGGTCTGTCTGATCTCATTTATTTTATTTTTAAAATTTTTTTATTTTTATTTATTTTATTATATAGAGTTATATAGAGTTATATAGAGTTATATAGAGTTTGCATGTTTGTAGGTGGTTTGAATGTTTGTAGGTGGTATTTTTTTAATTTAGGTGGGTTCTTTAACGGTTGCTCATACATACATCATGTTTGTTTGTGTGGTAGTATTTTATGTTCTGTTTTACTCCTTTTTCTCTTTCTTCATGAGTCTTGAGTCAAGTTAATGAAGCATAGGTAGGTGAGGTAAAAATTAATTTACTATATAGGTAGGCTAGGGCATAAGGTAATTTAGTTACATAGGTAGGTTAGGGACTCCTATTCTTTTACTCTACTTGGTGGTCTGATTTTTGTTTTGTGTTTTTTTTTTGTTTTGTTTCACATCATACATTCAGCAGGTACGCGGTGGTTCCTAGTTTTAGTGGGATTTTTATTGATTGAATGTGGTAGTATGCATGGTTATATAGAGTTATATAGAGTTATATAGAGTTATATAGAGTTATATAGAGTTATATAGAGTTATATAGAGTTATATAGAGTTATATAGAGTTATATAGAGTTATATAGAGTTATATAGAGTTATATAGAGTTATATAGAGTTATATAGAGTTATATAGAGTTATATAGAGTTATATAGAGTTATATAGAGTTATATAGAGCATAAATCCTATATAGATACCTTTCTTTGCTCTTCTTTTTTTTGCCGACCGGTCGGTTTCTTTGCGATTATTTTCATTTAAATTGAATAAATAAGATTTTTCCATTCATTTAGGTTTTTCAGGTTCATTTATCCAGGTTGAAACTTCCAGTGGAGTTCATTGTGGACGATCAGAATGGTTGTGATGTCACGCTACGTTCGTTCATTTGGTGGCAAAGAATGCACGCCCTGCTGGGGTACGTTTTACGGTTTCTTTGCGGTTCTTTTTTTTGCCAGTTGGCTAGCTTTTCCGGCGGGTTTCACCGCGGCTCGTTTTTCTATTTTCATTTAAATTAGTCAAATAAATAAGATTTTTCCATTTCATCCATTTTATTCAGGTTGAAGCTTCCAAAGGAATTCATCATGGAAGATGCCAGGCTACGTTCGTTCATTCAGTGGCAAAGAAGATACGCCTGGCTGGGATATATTTTATTCTTTTTTCTCTGTTTTTCTCTGTAATTTAACATTAAGTAAGAATGCTCACACGCACACGCACATACACACAATTACATTAAGTAGCTATATAGGTAGGTTAGATAGGCATAATTTTAATTGTAGGTAGGATAGATAGGAAGCATCCAACACTAATGTAGTAGAATAGTTAGGCAGCGTAAGTTTATCTCTTCTATTTTTTCTCGCAC